GTGAAGCCCATTTCTGGTGTTTCCGCCGTGATATTGCGGGAATATTGCTAAAACAATACTTACTCAGTAACCCAGAGCTGAGTGGACGACAAGAACGTTCACAGTATGACACTAGGTGTTTGGCCCACACTTGGCGCTCTTCAGCCTATATTCATAGTAACGTCAATACTATCTGTCCGCTCCCCAATACGATAGTAGCTCTGTGATTGCCGTAACTTCCATAGTTTAACATTATTTACGGCAATCATAGTGTCACGAGCGTTTTGAGCCGTGTGACTGCACTACCTTAGTGCTACGACAGTCGATCTAATTGGTGGCTAAAGGATGCGAATGTTCCAAATGGGATATTGACGGCCAGGAACCAGAACCCTCGCACAGCAGGCTGGGTTATTGTTAGGGGTGGGTATTGCAGAGAATTTTCATATTGCGATATATTGCGATGCGAAAGCATATATTGCGATATGTATTGCAATATATTGCAAGAAGTTAATGCTTGATTCATAAAGCAAAAACACAACAAAATCACTATGCCTGATTAAGCTTTAATAAAAGAAATTACTTTACCATTGCATATTTTACCAGAGACCATATAATAGTTCCATCTACCGTGAACTTTTTTCAACCCCAAATGCTCGCATACTGAAGCGTTGCCCTAGTATTTTGCATCACAATAAATATTGTTCGTTGTTGGGGGGTCGAGATTTTACAACAAACGCATGACTTCCTGTGTGAAAAACGGAAATATCCGAAGTTTTCCGAGTGTTACGAAGTTTTCCGAATGCATGTCAAAATACCGGTTTTCGATCAACGTATCGCAATACGTATCGTTTTCATGTCTGAACCGGTACATACCGGTAAACCGGTTAAATGCGCAACCGGTTATTGTACTCTCGGTGTTCGCGAAGTTACCTTTGAAAACTCCATACAAGATCCTGTGTGTGCAGCTTGGGTAGTCGCTGAGTAATAAGTGAGCGAGTGAGTTTAGTTTTACGCCGCACTCAGCAATATTCTAGCTATATGGCCACGGCCTGTAAATAATAATGCCTCGACCAGACAACCCAGTGAGCATCAGCATGAGCGCTCAGTGATAAAGTGAATATTTCATTTGCTTGGTTGAAAAAACTATGAGGTTGATTTTAGCGACGTAAGACGCTGAGTGTGTTATATTTTCACTCAATACTGATTTCTGCCATGACGCTTCTGTTACATCCATCCAATAGGTACGACCATTTCACTGTCGTTTGAACATGGCGTTATGTTGACATAACATTTTGTGTCCTGTGTCAACACCTCGATGGCCTTAACAGTATCAGTACACACAGAGAAAATCTAGTGTTGCCTTTCCATGTTACAGAACAATGTATTGTAACCCATGTGAAGCAAACTTCTCAAGGTGGCTGCTCTAATGAAGTACCTCGACATGGCCCTGTGTTCTTGACGAAAGTGGCGTTCGCGTCGTGACAGCTATGGACCTTCACCCTGGCACTTGTGTATTAATAAAGCATGGAGAGGTGACGAGGATCATATCGATTATCTACAACTCAGGACCGTGAACGGCCGACGCTGGTGGTGACCATTCTTCTCTCCATGCACTGAATGACTTCTGCGCACCTACATACATATATACACAGTTTTCATTCTACAAGACGTCAGCTGTAATGGAAGACGGACAGACACAGCGTTCTTAAACTTAAATATCTTATGTATTTGGGTGATTTGGTAAATGTCTAGAAACTATGGACTGTAAGTTTTGCGTCTATTTATCGGCCTCCGTTTTCGTGAGAAGGTGCCCCCGGCACCATCAACCTGTACCGTCATCCGTCATGTCACACCCGTCATCGTCATCCCACGCTTCTTGCACTGTTTGAACCACATGCCTGGCGCGATGTAGATATATAGTTTAGGGTGCCAAACGTGTCCCATTTAGAATCGAGGCGGTTTCTTCAAGTCAATTTTATTAAAAAGGACAATTATTAAACCCTAATTACTTAATTATATCCGGTTATATCCCGTGTGGCTCAGGATAAGATCTGCTTCTTTGATTGGGTTCAAAATAGATAAAAATTACTTAAGCATGCTCCTTACCAACTTGTCAACCTTACCAGCAAGTGGCATCCTAACAGCCAAGTATACGAGAGCTGGAATATCATATCCACACTGAAAACAGATCTCCTTCAAGCTACATACCAACAGTAGCCAGGCATTCCCCGAGAGTGAAGACTCTCCCATACACCGCAGGAAAGGGACCACCCGTCACTTGGTACCAGAGACCTTTTACAGGCGAGACAACTATATACTGCAGGTCAGACACACAGACTCACATGCTACTGAGTACAGACCAGACATCCACTAAAACAATACAGACCAGACACACACTACAGACCAGACATCCACTAAAACAATACAGACCAGACTCACAATACAGACCAGACATCCACTAAAACAATACAGACCAGACTCACAATACAGACCAGACATCCACTAAAACAATACAGACCAGACTCACAATACAGACCAGACATCCACTAAAACAATACAGACCAGACACACACTACAGACCAGACATCCACTAAAACAATACAGACCAGACACACACTACAGACCAGACATCCACTAAAACAATACAGACCAGACACACACTACAGACCAGACATCCACTAAAAAATACACACCAGACACACACTACAGACCAGACATCCACTAAAACAATACACCAGACACACTACAGACCAGACATCCACTAAAACAATACAGACCAGACACACACTACAGACCAGACATCCACTAAAACAATACAGACCAGACACACACTACAGACCAGACATCCACTAAAACAATACAGACCAGACACACACTACAGACCAGACATCCACTAAAACAATACAGACCAGACACACACTACAGACCAGACATCCACTAAAACAATACAGACCAGACACACACTACAGACCAGACATCCACTAAACAATACAGACCAGACAACCACTTACACACTACAGACCAGACACCAACTTACACAGAGCACACAACAGACCAAACAGACACACACTACAGACCAGACAGCCACGCACACTACAGACCAGACACCCACTTACACACTATAGACCAGACACCCACTTACACACTACAGACCAGACACCAACTTACACAGTGCACACAACAGACAAAACAGAAACACACTACAGACCAGACATCCACGCACACTACAGACCAGACACCCACTTACACACTATAGACCAGACAACCACTTACACACTACAGACCAGACACCAACTTACACACTATAGACCAGACACAAACCTACACAGTGCACACAACAGACCAAACAGACACACACTACAGACCAGACCAGACTACAGACCAGACACCAACTTAAACACTATAGACCAGACACACACTACAGACCAGACATCCACTAAAACAATACAGACCAGACAACCACGCACACTACAGACCAGACACCCACTTACACACTACAGACCAGACACCAACTTACACAGTGCACACAACAGACCAAACAGACACACACTACAGACAAGACACCTACACACTACAGACCTGACACACACTATAGGCCAGACACATACACACAGTACAACTCAGACACCTACACACAGTACAGACCAGACACCCACTCACTACAAACCAGACACACACTACAGACGAGACAGCCACACACTACAGACCAGACACCTGATCACACACTGCATACTATAGACCGGACACCCACTCAGACAATACACACTACAGACCAGACAACCACTCACAACAGACCAGACACCTACACACAACAGACAAGACACCCACACACTACAGACCACACACACTACACAAAACAACTCAGACACCTTCACACAGTACAGACCAGATACCTACACACACAACAGTCCAGACACCCACGCACAACAGACCAGACACCCACTCACTACAAACCAGACACCCAAACACTACAGACCAGACACATACACACAATACAACTCAGACACCTTCACACAGTACAGACCAGATACCTACACACACAACAGTCCAGACACCCACGCACAACAGACCAGACACCCACTCACTACAAACCAGACACCCAAACACTACAGACCAGACACATACACACAATACAACTCAGACACCTTCACACAGTACAGACCAGATACCTACACACACAACAGTCCAGACACCCACGCACAACAGACCAGACACCCACTCACTACAAACCAGACACCCAAACACTACAGACCAGACACATACACACAATACAACTCAGACACCTTCACACAGTACAGACCAGATACCTACACACACAACAGTCCAGACACCCACGCACAACAGACCAGACACCCACTCACTACAAACCAGACACCCAAACACTACAGACCAGACACATACACACAATACAACTCAGACACCTTCACACAGTACAGACCAGATACCTACACACCCAACAAGCCAGACACCTACATGCACTACAAAACCAGACGCCCATGCACCTTTGTGTGTGCCGTATTCTCCGACTGACTAATGCATGCACAGTAACAGATTCAGAGAGTGGTTCTACAACTAGCTCACCCAAGGCCTCTCTACTACCTATGAGTCACATGATGATAGTTCGTTCAAGCGATGAAACGTTTATTGTTGACACAAATACTATATCAGCTATGCTATTATTTCACAACTGATATTTCTAAATTGATCTATGCATGGTTTGTATAACTATAGAGAGTTCTACCTAGTTTGCCTCGCCGTTAAACTATGTCATCAATCAATGGAATGTTTTAATGTATGTAAATATATGGGAAACGACATTAAACCGGTTGTGGGATGATTAATGGCAAAACCTAAGCGTACACATATGCATCATATACATTATGCCACCATTGTTCGATAATTATCGTACTCTAAAGTAAGCAAATACTAAGCGGCAAGTAACCGATTCTAAAAAAAACACCCATTCACCACGAATAAGAACATTCGGTTCCCTGCGAGCCTCGGAAGTGTAAAATTTAATTCCTGACTGCGTGGGTCCCCCTCGAGAGCCTCACAAAGCGCGTCCCAGGCAATCGAGCACCAGTAGCGTCTAGTGTTCGCATACAGGTTGCTTGCTCCTCACACAGGTAAGTTGTAGTCTTACTCCCTCAGTAGTTTCCAGTGTACGAAAGCATACTTCGGGTCGTCTTAATATGTGTGTATTTTTTCATGAATACAAATGCGTTTGAGAAAGTACAATTAACACTGCTTAAGGTATATATAAGTTAGGTGCATCTTCATTGACTGATAAAACAATCAATAAAATATAATGGCGGATGTATCCGAAAGCGCCTGTGTATCCTGTGTAATGCGTTGGTGCTAGAGTATATCATATATCCGTTAGTCTTCACCAATGACTAGTATGTGTATAGACAACGCAGTGCTACTTATTGTATACTGAAGACATACCTTTACCATTTGGATAATGGCGTAATCTACATATGATTAGAAAAACCTATTTTAACACAGGATGTGTTTTGTCGACAGACAGAAATGGTCCCAAATGCACATTCAAATGGGTTATACAAGCCACCTGTGATGCATTTTAGGAACGGGGGTGAGGGGGTGTTGAGAAATGATTCACACATCATCCAGAGGCGTGCAGCCCGCGGTGACTCAAAGGATGCCTGTGATATTATATCTTTAGAACGTTTGATAATATATGTATCTAGAGTAGCGGTGCTTGCTGCATGATGTTGTGATCACCAGAGCGTGATTGCTGGAGACGGAACACGCTTTTCCTTGCGAACTGTTCATGAGAACATCGTGGACTTTTACAACGAAATAATGAATGCTTTATGCTCACAATGAGGACTAGTAACAACATTTTATTTCCACTAACATTTTGGGGGGTTTAAGTAGGTATGTTTACTTGCGTTATCATTGTCAAATATAATTTGAAGTAATTTAGACAACAGACAAACTGGATTGTTGCAAGTTTCATTTTAAAGCCTACAGTTGTAATTTTACGTGTTTCAAACGTTCCCCTTCGAGCAAGAGTGCAGGGCGGCTCGGGGTAACAGTTCGTCATCATCTGTCATATTCTGATACCATTCCAGACACTCCCAACCGCTCCAGGCTATAAAATGGCAGATATTGGCAGTTGTCATTGACAACCGTCATGATTTGAAACGTGTAAGGAAATTTATAGATCCCGACCTGCCACGATTCGCTGACAATACTGATCAACGATGCGGAGATGTTACCTTGACATGCCGTTTACGTGGAGCTAAAAAACAAGAATATATTTAGCACATTAGGGCTGTGGAATTTTAAACATGTGCCGAGGGTGTGGGTTTGGTTTTACTCACCAACTTCTAAAATGACAATCAAACAGATCATGAATGAATTTGGTTTTACTCACCAACTTCTAAATGACAATCAAACAGATCATGGATGAATTTGGTTTTACTCACCAACTTCTAAAATGACAATCAAACAGATCATGAATGAATTTGATTTTACTCACCAGCTTCTAAAATGACAATCAAACAGATCATGAATGAATTTGGTTTTACTCACCAGCTTCTAAAATGACAATCAAACAGATCATGAATGAATTTGGTTTTACTCACCAACTTCTAAAATGACAATCAAACAGATCATGAATGAATTTGGTTTTACTCACCAACTTCTAAAATGACAATCAAACAGATCATGAATGAATTTGGTTTTTAAATGACTCACCAACTTCTAAAATGACAATCAAACAGATCATGAATGAATTTGGTTTTACTCACCAACTTCTAAGATGACAATCAAACAGATCATGAATGAATTTGGTTTTTAAATGACTTTCATCAGTATTCTAGTTACAGAATACTTCGGTTATAACGAACTCGAAGGGAGCGCTAATGTTAAAACTGTAGTTCGTTGTACGCATTTCCGCTAATATAGACAGCAAAGAGCCAAAATAGATGTTCGTTATATTCGTTATTTCGTTATAAACGCGTTCGTCCTAAACGTATATACGGCACGCCTTGTGGAGGAAACTTGAGTTGATTGAGGTGTCAAGTGATGTAGGTTTTAACCGCCTTGGTGAGACCCACGAGCATGTGGTGTTGGGGACAAACCCACACACATTATTAGGGCGAATGTGGATTCGAACCCAAGATCCCAGAAAACGATGCCCTTCAGAGACACACGGTGTATTGGTAGTATTGTGGGCCATTTGCTCTAGATGTCATCACAGGTGGTACTCACCGTTGTAGGTCATAGGTGGTTTGTTGGTGTCTGTGTTGAGGTCCGTTCGTATATCGTTTGTGTTTGTGTTACATGCACATAATACCTCTATCATCACCGTTAGCATTACCGCCTTGCTGAATTTTTCGCCAGAGTGAGTGAGTTAGTGAGTGTGTATGGCTTTTCGCCGCTTTTAGCAATATTCCAGCAATATCATGGCGGGGACACCAGAAATGGGCTTCACACATTGTACCCTTGTGGGAATCGAACCCGGGCCTTCGACATGACGGGCGGACGCTTTAACCACTAGGCTACCCCACCGCTGCCAGAACAAGGAATTGGTGGGTGTTGTGCTTTTCGCAAATGACTATTAGTGTCATCGCAAATAAAAATCATAATTAAAAAAAGAAGAAGAATACAATTGTGGGTTTCTTGTTCATGAAGACGATTATCCTCGTCTTCGTTATCATGTTAAGGATGGTTATTGTCGTCCTAATCCATACCTAGATACTGATTAGTCGCCGTACGTTTGGTACCGTTCTAGTTGGTCATGTCTTACATCGTAATTTTAGTTTTTTGTCATCTCGTCATGCTATGCAATCTTTGTAGAAGGACATTCACATGTCAAAACGCACACATATGGAACGCTTTTACGCCGTTCTTTACGTAATAGTCGTTTCGCCATTTCACCAACTGCTCTCTTTTAATCATTATTAAGCGTACTGAAATGTGTACATGAAAAATAGGCGATTTATGCTCTCAAGCTAGCATATGTTTGTGTTTATCGAGGCAGTTAATAATGACTATGGCAGCACATTAGCCCGGTTCCCAGCCAGGGAGGTGATATAGTTAAAGTGCACGGCTTGTTTGTGCACCAAAGTACACAGCGGTCACAGGCTCGCCACACCAAATGACGCCAGCCCTTTGAACAAAACTAGGACCCGATTACTCCCATTAAATAACACTGGCACCTAATTCAAGAAACACCTTTAGAAAATACGGCTTTTAGAAAGTAACAGGTCGTGGTAACCTGGTTTTTGCGTAGTAATACTGAAACTCTCGTCAATACATATCTCTGACCCAGTACTTGAGCAACCCAGAGAGATCGCTCATGCGCATCCTACAACACCGCTTAATGGTGGTGTATAAATAGAATTGATAGGAATTACAGTGTGTGGAGCTTGCTTGGGACGGAGAAGCGTGGTTTGAGTCATGCTTGAGGGAGACTGAGTTGTCGATATTCAGTGTGAGGTCATGTAGATGAAAAAGATACGCCTGACTGCACCACGGATACCACAGTTGACCTACATTAAACTAACTGCTGACATTGATTTCTTGCAGCTAAGAACCGAGATAACTTGCCGACATTAATTAATTACAAACCGGTTCTCGGTTGAGAGGCCTTTCTGAAGGTCCATTGCACTGCCTTATGACGATGGTCGTCCGATTTGATGGAGAGGGATCGAATAGAAGGAATCTAATTCATGGGATTTAAGTTCATTGCTGAACTTAATTGTTCACCGATATTTAAATAGAGACGTTGTAAGGGTAAAGTGATCTTTAAGACAATGTACAAAGGGATAAAATGCGAAAATATCTTCAATTAATTATTCTAATTGATCAGGGTCAACGCCATTAAAAATGCATCGGTCAGTCAATGTTTCTGGCGGTCTTTGAATAATGACGTTCTCTTTTCACCTACGGTAATACTACAGTGAGACCAATGCATACCCATACCACCTTTCCGTCCTCTAGCCCTGACCGTGGACACAGTATTTTCCAACAACGTACAACAGTGTTATTGTTGCTTTCAGCCAGTCACGTCATTATCCGCGACCGTCTGTGCCCACGAGGCAATCCCTCCGTTGCATTTTTGTCATATTTGCGCCGTCGGTAGCTACACAGGGCAATAGAGGATTCTTGTACCGCCCTTGTATTTCGTCCACGCTGTGACAAACATATGTTACAAACATTGTCTGCATGTGTTACAAACAGGGACTGGAAGTGTATCAAACACATACTGCATATGTTACAAACATGGACGGTTTATGTAACAGACATGGACTGCATGTAACAAACATGGATATGTAACAAACATGGACTGCATGTTACAAACATGGATATGTAACAAACATGAACTGCATGTTACAAACATGGATATGTAACAAACATTGACTGCATATGTTACAAACATAGATATGTAACAAACATTGACTGCATATGTTACAAACATGGATGTGTAACAAACATTGACTGCATGTTACAAACGTGGATATGTAACAAACATGGACTGCATGTTACAAACATGGATATGTAACAAACATTGACTGCATATGTTACAAACATAGATTGTGTATGTAACACACGCTGACTGCATATGTAAATATAGTGTAGCGGGTTTCATTATCAAATAGATGATCATGGCGTTAACGAAACCACTATCACCAGGGTCGGCTATTTCCCCAACCCCTACTTTCCATTACAACTACATCCCAGTTCCCCTACAATAGTTAAAACTGCACACGTCATTTACCCGTCTGGCATAATGAACTCATCGAAACGAATGATTATGGTCAAGAGTAGGAAAGAAAGTGGTAGAAGGGGATAAGGGAAAAGTTTCAGAATTTTTTATGGGTCGTTTTCCATTCTCTGCTCTATAGGGTTCCAAGGTGCCGTGAGGCGCTAGAAGGTTCTACCATCACATCCTACTGGGTTGAGTATTGTAATCGTGTAACTGAAAACAGCATGCTTTGTTTGGATATCAAGGTGCATATTCTGAAAGTAATAAACTTATGTTGATGCACCCTGCCTTGTTTGACATTCTTGTATTTCTATTGATTAAAGGTGTGATATGTGCATGGCATTTCGCGGTACGGTAAATATGCAGCAAACACAGGATACGGTT